CTGATCCAAAGCTAATATAAAATGGTTCAACTATTCCACAGTAGTACGTGCCGACATCCTCTGCTGTCATGTTCATTATGGTCAAAGTGGTTTCATCAGAAGAACTTTGAACTAAATAATGATTTACAGCTTTTGTCTCAGGGAGATTTACTGTTGTTGTGAGCAGTTGTAGACTCCTGTTGGTGTCCAGTTTGTACCACGCTCTACTGTTCCATGCACTTCTGGTTGAACATTTGATCACCACAGTCTCACCGAGTTTTGCAGTTTGGAAACTTTCAAGCTGCTGGACTTGATGTGGCTCAGACGCACCTGAAATACAAAACAAATGTTGTACACAAGTGTATGTAAAGATCTGGTTAGTTCTGCAGTGTTCCTCGTACTTACACAGAGTCCAGAGCACAGTGATGATGACAGTGTTCAAGATCACCATTGTCACGGACCAGAGGGTTTGTTAAGTTGATGTGGGCAGAGGAAGGATATATATATGTGTGAGAGTGGAGCTTTCTGATTGGATGACACATATTTATAGAGTGCTGCTGATTGGGTGCACATATTCAGGCATCTATAATGATGTTGTGCATGTGCTTGACAGATATGCATCAACTTAACCCAGGTAGAAACTCTAGTGCAACTTAAATTGGAACACTTGCAATGAGTTGTATCTCCCTGCAGCACCAGCGGGTCTAATTTCCCTGTTAGTGCTGTTAGTAATGGAGCTAAACTTAGATTTTATGAAAAAAACAAACAAACAAAAAAAAATTTATAACTTCGAAACTTTATAAATCGCCAAGTTATTAAAACATGTAGCAGAATCCTTACTTTTAAATAGCTTTTTTGAACGTAAAAAGTTATGGATATTAGTTAACATGTATCTGTTTAAGCCTCCATGATGTCTCTGAAATCTTATACTTTTTTTTTTTTCGAAAAGCCTATGAGAAAAATGTATGGAAAATTCACTTCTGGAACCAGAGTGAGCAGTCACTTTTGAGCACCACTGCTTTTGTTGGTACTTTAAACAAAGACATATTTTGCTTTTCTGTATGTCATTATTTTAGATTTAGTTCATTTTTACACTGTGATACTGATTGCCTCATGGTTGAGTTCACCATGACAAACCAGACCAAAGTGAAGGTGAAGTCAGGGCAAGAGCAGTTGTGTGTTCTATGGACAAGAAAAAAACATCGACATCACCGGTTTGGCACAAGCCAGGGCCACGTGCTAGAGCCTCAGCCCACTCACAGAAGTAACAATGAGGGGCAGATGCTTTGATTATATTTTTTTAGGCTTGTCTGAATGAATGACGAGGTCATGCTGAGGCAGCCTCTCAGTGTCTGGGTGGCAGTCAAAGGCAGAGGTCTTGATGACCTGCTCTTTGAAAGTAACGCTACCTAGACTCTTCAGTCTTCCTGGGGAATGTAGAGGATGTGTTCATGTTGTGTCAAGATCAGTAGAAGCTCAAGCTACTCAAGAGATCAAGTTACTTAAGAGATGTGACAGTTGAAAACAAAGGAAGGCTTTCTCTGGGCCGACCACAGCAGTTTCAACAAGCAGCCATGTTGCACTGCTCATGAGAGCGGTGGAAACTTCTGTGTGGTTAGATCAGAGGTGTAAGAACAGTCTTATGTTCATCCGTCAAAAGAGATCATACAGCAGGTGAAAGGTAAAGCGAAAAACAAGAGCACAAAGTCGCACACTATGTTTAGATGTGGAAAAGTACACCAAAGCTCTGATTTCCTTTGGTTTCTAAAATGCATGTGCGCTAACCCTGTGATTTTTATTGATATAGCAGAATCATTCAACTAACTAGCCAGGAAAATATCTAACATGTCTCTATACATGAACTCACTCATTCAGGACCAGCAAAGATATAAGTTATTGTCCTTCCACCTCGAACATGCTTTATGTGTTGCAGTGTTTTGATCATTAGACTGTCGGCTGTAGAGAAGTGGACTGAGGGGACAGTGATGTCATCCATAGCATCTGGCTCCAGTCAAATGAAGCCAATACAGTTGTAACTCATTTGGAGCTGAGTTCATTATTTGGAATTCTGATGGTGTACTGAAACTGAAAATCCAGTCAGGAGCCAGGTTGTTGAAGGCCCCTTCCGAGTCGCACCACTGGATTGGCAGTGAACGTGGTGCTTTGCAACGCTGTCAATCAAACCTGTTGCTGTCACTAGCAGGAAGTGACCTTGGGGAAAGAAGGCACTTGACTGGTCTGTTATTAATGTTTTTATATTGGTTCCTGTACAAAATGGCAAAATACAAAACACCAGGATAATGTAGAGCAGAAGTTAATGTCAATGGCAAATTATGATATGCCTCTGAGCATAGTGAGCGGTGTTGGGAAGGTCACTTTTAAAATGTATTCCCCTACAGATTACAGATTACATACCCCAAAATGTAGTTTGTAACGTAATCCATTAAATTACCTCAGGTGAGGAATGTAATCTGAATACTTTGGATTACTTGATTTGCTGTAGAGAAGCAAAGACGAAGAAATCTTGGATATGTTTTGTCTGCTAAAAGACAATAAAAAGCCCAGACTTTACTTACCCAAATTAAAAATATTATTGATAGAAGAGGAGACTTGGTCCACGCAGCATGATTTAGACCTGGTTTATTCCTGGTTTAGTCCTGGTTTAGACCTGGTTTAGACCTGGTTTTAGACCTGGTTTTAGACCTGGTTTAGTCCTGGTTTAGTCCTGGTTAAGATCTGGTTTAGACCTGGTTTTAGACCTGGTTTAGACCTGGTTTAGTCCTGGTTTAGTCCTGGTTTAGACCTGGTTTTAGACCTGGTTTTAGACCTGGTTTAGTCCTGGTTTAGTCCTGGTTTGGATCTGGGTTTAGACCTGGTTTAGACCTGGTTTAGTCCTGGTTTAGTCCTGGTTTAGTCCTGGTTTTGGACCTGGTTTAGACCTGGTTTAGACCTGGTTTTAGACCTGGTTTAGTCCTGGTTTAGACCTGGTTTAGACCTGGTTTGGACCTGGGTTTAGTCCTGGTTTAGACCTGATTTAGACCTGGTTTGGACCTGGGTTTGGTCCTGGTTTAGACCTAGTTTAGACCTGGTTTGGACCTGGGTTTAGTCCTGGTTTAGACCTGGGTTTAGACCTGGTTTAGACCTGGTTTTAGAAATGGTTTAGTCCTGGTTTAGACCTGGTTTAGACCTGGTTTGGACCTGGGTTTAGACCTGGTTTAGTGTCTGGCAATGAGTAGAATTACCGGAAAAAAAAAAAAAAAAAAAAAAAAGGATATAGCCCAAAATGTGAAAACAGGAAAATACCGCCCTGTAATCCATTTATTTCAACAAAGTAACTGTAATCCAATTACCACTCACTGAAACAGTAACTGTAACTGAATACAGTTAACTTTGTTACATGTAATCTGTTACTCCTCAACACTGATAGTGAGTGTGTATGTAAACGTAGACACAGACAGGACTGGGATTTTTTTTAATTTTTCATTTATTAGGGGCAGTGTACATGAGCAAATGAAACTGTATGATCCTAACATAAACTATTTTCACAGACAAGCTGCAAAACAGAGTGAGACATGTTTGAAGAGCTAAGGACAAACAGACATAACAAATGCTGTTCAAGAGACATTATTTGTCTCCATGGAGATGTTACTGCTTTTTGTTTTCCACAGCACGGCACTGGACCTACTATCATGCATTTAGTCACTTACATGTGTTTTTACTGCTCAAAAAAAAAATCAAACATGCATTCTTAGTGTGGACAGGTACTCATCTCCACAAATTCAACCAGACCGTCTCCATGGAGATAAATAAGTTCACTGTCATATTGTGGAACATTTCAGACGAGGCAATAACATCCCCATGGAAACGAGCAGGTGACGGACACTCCAGTAAAGTTACATACTTCACCTTTAAAGCGCCTTGTGCAACTTTTCTAGTAAAGAGTCTGTTACCTGTTTGTCTTCATGGAGATGTTACTGCTTTGTCTACTCTAAAATGTTCCACGGTAGAGATTAAACCTATCTGTCTGAAGGGAAACAACCAGAGGCTACATTACAGGCCAGATCTGTGGAGAGGCAGCCCTATTCACAGAGAGCATTAGGCTACGTTCAGACTGCAGCCTGAAGTGACCCAAATCTGATTATTCCACCCCTATGCTCCTGTATCTAATCTTTTGATGACAATGATCTGAATGACACAGATCACATTTTTTTGTGACCCAGACCACTTGGATATGTGCAACTAAAACCGATACATATCCGATCTTTTGACATGCGACTTCAGTGTGAACGGCCAGGAGGATATGGAGGGAAAGCGAGGTTAGCGAGTTTATTCATATTTGGGGGGATCGCTGTATTCAGGCCAAATTGAAGGAGTCTTATCAGAACTGGGCAGTTTTTGAAATGATTGACAAAGAAATGGCCGAGCGTGGCTAAAGACGGTCCCGGCTCCAATGAAAAATAAAGAACCTGTGAGCCAAATACAAGACTTAAGCCAAATATAAAGACTCAAACAAACGAAGAGACCGTGGACGTGTAACCTGTTCATTTTACAAAGAACTGGACCGTATTTTGGGAGACAAGCTCAGCGTTTAGGCGACTTCCATAAACACTGAGCACGTTCGCTGTGCGTGACGGTGTTGTGTCCTCCAATGTGCATGCGGGACACACTTGTAGCGTTTAAAGGTCACACTGCATATCGCATACAAAGAGCATTTAATTGGAAATGTGAACGACCTCGCAAAAAAAAAAACTGATTTCACACAAAAAAAGAAATCCAAACTGAGCATTAAGCTCTGCAGTCTGAACATAGCCTTGTTGAAACGTTTGTGATGAATAAATGCTAGATAGATGTGTTTAATGTCATACCATGGAACATTCCAGGCAAAGCAATAACATCACTATGGAGACAAGCGGATGACGGACCTTCCACCAAAAATATTACAAACTTTACATTTAAGGAAGCAAAACATAATTATGCTGAATAATGGAAGAAACAACAAACTGTGAAAATGTGATGGGCTTTTAATAAGATTTTGGCAGCTGGTCCTGTCGATTCTTCACTTCAGAATAAACCACCGGGTCCTGTCGGGGCGTGACTGAGGCTGACCTGCAGGAGGCGCTCAAGGGCACCACATTCACTCTTGCATAAGTAATCTCCTCTTCAGTCTGAAAAACAACAATACAAGAACTTTGTGAGCAAATATAGTCTTAGTCATGTCATGAATATGTAATAAAAATATCTCTATGACCTGTTCATCATGAGTGGAGCCATGACAGCAAGATCCTTCTGTAACAGAAACAAATGTTGTGTTCCTTGGGTGTGAGAAAGTGAAATAGAATTCTCATGTGTTTGTGATGTAAATGTGGTCAGTACCTGTATGTTGATTCTTCCTGTATCTGTAAACCAGCCACACCAGGACGACCACAGTCACACAGAAAACAACGTTCAGCACAGTCAAGACGATGACAGTCGGGCTAAACTTGGACAGATCAGACACGTCACCACCTTCAAACGGAAAACGAGACTTTATAAAAACAACACCATATATAATTAGACATATTATACTAGTACTTTTGTAATTCTAATCTATGACACCTATGGATCATTAGGTTCTGTTTTGGACAAATTGTTATAATGGTCTAAAATGACTTCACAAAAGAACCAAGAGCACTGACTTAAAGCTGAAAACTGTGGTGCTGTTTTACACTTGCCCATTTATGATACAGTATGTCACTGTAAACAGCATCACAACAAAGTGCTGCTCTGCTGGACTGAACTGTGTCAAGCATAAACAATATTTTGAAGTGGACTGTGTGACTAAAGAGCCAATCAGGGGTGAGGGTGTTGAAGGCACTTGCCCCTTTCCACTCGCACCACTGGTTTGGCAGTGGACCGACGCTTAGCAACAAGGCACACTGCTGTCAATCAAACGTGCTGAGCCGACCTTCGGGAAAGAATGTACCTGGTTGGTTTGTTATGTATTACATTGTGTCGCCTTGTCACGATGTGCATGTAGGTCTGTTATATACACTTCTGACACATGAGAGAGCGAGTCAGTGAATCCTAGCCTCCTGAAATGTTGAAATGTTAAGACATGTTTTGTATAATTTCTCATCTTTTTGTAATTATTTTGTTGACTATTTTGTTCCAGTATTGCTGGTTCAATTGAATGTTGAAAAGAAAAATAAATGTTCTACATTTAATGTCCAAATAGTCGACTTATGGATCCTTTTATTGCTGCTTCAATGACTTCAATGTTTGTCATTGTTTAAAACTTGAGTAAAACTAATCAGAGACACGATCACTCAGTCAACAATAAAATATCCTCATTAATGTTCAGTAATGGTCAAATTCACCTTTATTTAGTGATTTATGAATAATGTCTATTGACTTGGCTCGCGAGGGTTTGTGACTTTTAAAATATGGGTCCCCAGAAAAAAATCTGGGAAACACTGGCATATTATTTATATATATGTTCACATCTTGATTTACAGTCAAATGAACACACCAGTGTCATGTAGAGTTAAAATGAACATTTTAATGAGGAGATGCCCGACGGCTGCAGTTACAAAGAAAGTGAAGTGAACTGGAACCAGCTTTGAATGGAAACATTTTGAGACCATGTTCACTTCCAGTTTGGAAGACACCAGCCATTTATCTCCATCTACAATATGTCCATTCTACGATGCACACGGCCCTGCCTATGGATAGTTCAGTTCAGATTATGTTGCCAAATACTACGTGCATTACTGCTAGAAAAATCAAATTTGAGAAGGAAGAAGTCATGTACCGAGGTTTATTGAAATTAAGTCTTGAATTAAAGAGAATGAAGATAACTTAAACATGCATGACTGGCTCAAAAGAGAAACAACTATGACATGGTTAAAAGTAAATTTTGCATAATATGATCCCTTTAATAGATAATGATGATACATTCATATTTTATTGATTCAGGCTGAGTAACTTCATAATTAAGGGGTTATGGTTGAGGTATTAATTAAGTAGTTACTAAACCTGATTCATTCTAAATAGACAATTTCATTATGAATTTAATCTTAATCTGACAGGTAAAAGATTTGGACATGAACAGCCCACAACAACAGTTTGTCAGAAGAATGCTTCATGTTGAGACAATGGCCCCAGTATATTTTATGAACCAGCAGTGATCCATCAACATATTCACACGTCTTTACTGCAACAGGACCAGCATTTCAAAATACACACATGCAATTTTTTTTTTTAACCATGTTACATCATTGTCCTCAAATTAAGTACATGCTTGGAGTTGGGTTTTGTTTCATTTATGTTTCATTAAACCATAAATACAAAGTGATCTTGTCTGAGCTCAAAAATGTTCTGTTCTGTTGCATCACAGGTAAAACTCCAGACTTCTTTTACACAGTTTTTCCATAAATTCATAAACCATCACCCATTTGGTGGTCAAACTGTGGTCATCACATGGCTTCACTAAAATGGAAATAGGGGTGAAGTTTGTAAAGTTTAAATACTTACCGTGCACAAGCATCCTGGTCCCTGTCCCCGTCTGCATGTGTCCACAGACAGTCACCACACACAGGTAGATTCCATCTGCTGTAGATGTGATGTTGGCCAAGGTCAAGTTATGAACACATGAAGTTTCTTCAGTGTTTGAGTGTATGTCACACACAACCTCATTGATATTGTTCCAGGAAATCGTTTCAGAAGCAGAATCTTTAATCCAGGTGACACTGATGTGATCTTTAGAGCAGAGGCTGGTGTTAAATGAACAGCTGAGAGTCACAGAGTCTCCTGGCTGCACTCTGATATAGTCTGGACTCTGGAGCACAGACTGCATGAGCTTTGACTCTCCTTCAAACTTCAGAACAGTGCCTGATCCAAAAAGAGTATTAAATGAGCGAACTATTCCACAGTAGTACGTGCCGACATCCTCTGCTGTCATGTTCATTATGGTCAAAGTGGTTTCATCAGAAGAACTTTGAACTAAATAATGATTTACAGCTTTTGTCTCAGGGAAATTTACTGTTGATGCGAGCAGTTGTAGACTCCTGTTGGTGTCCAGTTTGTACCACACTCTACGTCTCCAAATATTTCTGGTTGAACATTTGATCACCACAGTCTCACCGAGTTTTGCAGTTTGGAAACTTTCAAGCTGCTGGACTTCATGTGGCTCAGACACACCTAAAATACAAAACAAATGTTGTACACAAGTGTATGTAAAGATCTGGTTAGTTCTGCAGTGTTCCTCATACTTACACAGAGTCCAGAGCACAGTGATGATGACAGTGTTCAAAGATCACCATTGTCACGAACCAGAGGGTTTGTTGAGTTGATGTGGGCAGAGGAAGGATATATATATGTGTGAGAGTGGAGCTTTCTGATTGGATGATACAAAATCATACAGTGTTGCTGATTGGGAGCTGCGTGTCTTTTGCACATGTTCACTCGTCTATACAGATGTCTTGCATGTGCTTCAAAGACTTGGTATCAGTTACTAATTGCTTTTGCTGTTTCAACTAAAGACATTATCTTGACAGTATGTCGGCAGAATCTGTAACACATGTATTAACATTTAAAATGTTGTTCATCAGTATGGTGCAGCCAGCGCCCCGTCCCAGAGCCTCAGCCTAAAAGTTAGTGCTTATTGCTAGTGTAAAGTGCTTTATTTATATTTCTTGGATTAGTTTGAAGAACAAGAATATTTCATGGGTTCAGGCCATGGCAGCATCTCAGTCTCTGTCCATAGTTTGCTTCACCTCAACCATCTGCACCTTGAAAGTAAAAACACCCTGAGTAAGACCTAGGATCTGCTGGGGGACGATGTCTGGAAAGGGAAGTTTGCTCAGACTGCAGCGTCCAGGAGCCAATCCAGGATAAACAGAAGAAGATAGATGTACATGTATATAAAGAGAGGTTGGTGGCTCAGAAGTTGTTGTTTGAACTCCATTAAAGAGTTTCAGTCATGTTGGTGATATTGAACATTCACCTCTAGATCAGACCTGTATGTGCCGTTCCTGTTCATGCTTGGTAGAAGCTAAACTAAGTTAAGAGGTTGGACAGTTGGTATTGAAGGAAGGCTTTTTCTTGTCCAACTCTATCACTCACTGATGTGTCAAAATGAAGACATGATACTGTGCTGGTGAGAGAGGAGGAAACTTGTGTGTGGTTAGAGCAGAGGTGTAAAAATAACCTTCTGTTCGTCAAGAGAACAAACTTTCTCTAACAGCTTTAGAGAGGAGACAGAGACCAATAATACCAACAACTCACACTATGTTTACAGTTTTAATAGTATTTAGAGCACAGATATCCAGACTTTTTTCACACAGGGCCACATATTGAAACATATTCCAAGAAGAGGGGCACAGATTAGTGGTGTACAGTCTGTCATTTGGATTGGTGCATGTGACACAGATGTGGTCTACAGCTACAGGAAGAATCAACAGGTTATGTACAATATAGAATATGGACAACAATAAATAGGTAGTGTTGAAGTGGGCTGACATGTACATGGTGTTGTTTGAGTACATTGCCATTTTAGCATTGGTGAAAACTAAAAACAGCCACTGTACTGATAATAAGGTCTGTATCAAACAGCAGAGTTCTGCTTTTGAAGTTATAGTACTACAAATACTTACATTAGTACCATTAGGCCATAGTTTGTACACCCCTGATTTAGACCTACAAAGTTTTAATGCAAATCCTAAATTAGGATGATATTAAATGGTCTGAGTGAGTTTCAGGGACTTCCTGATTTGAAGGATTTGGCAAGGCAACAACTTCCCTTGTTACAGCAATAACAAAACTGATAATATTATATCTTTTGAATGGGGAAAAATGCTTGAAATCAGGAAATAATCATTTGATCCATGAACAATTGAAAGCATAGTCAATATAATTAGTGCTTAAACCTAGTGACTGACAGCACTAGGAGAATTGTTGTACTTATTTGGGACAATGTACATGAGCAAATGAAACTTCATTCTGTTATTCCACATCATTTATTTTCAGTCAAGTTCCAAAAAGTATAAATTGACAGATGTCTGAAGAGGTAAGGAAAAGCAGAAGAAACCTTGCCATTCAAGAGAAAGAAGTGAATCTTTTAATAAGATTTTGGCAGCTGGTCCTGTCGATTCTTCACTTCAGAATAAACCACCGGGTCCTGTCGGGGCGTGACTGAGGCTGACCTGCAGGAGGCGCTCAAGGGCACCACATTCACTCTTGCATAAGTAATCTCCTCTTCAGCCTGAAAAACAACAATACAAAAACTTTGTGAGCAAATATAGTCTTAATCATGTCATGAATATGTAATAAAAATATCTCTATGACCTGTTCATCATGAGTGGAGCCACAACAGCAAGATCCTTCTGTAACAGAAACAAATGTTGTGTTCCTTGGGTGTGAGAAAGTGAAATAGAATTCTCATGTGTTTGTGATGTAAATGTGGTCAGTACCTGTATGTTGATTCTTCCTGTATCTGTAAACCAGCCACACCAGGACGACCACAGTCACACAGAAAACAACGTTCAGCACAGTCAAGACGATGACAGTCGGGCTAAACTTGGACAGATCAGAGATGTCACCACCTTCAAACGGAAAACGAGACTTTATAAAAACAACACCATATATAATTAGACATATTATACTAGTACTTCTGTAATTCTAATCTATGACATATGTGGATCATTAGGTTCTGTTTTGGACAAATTGTTATAATGGTCTAAAATGACTTCACAAAAGAACCAAGAGCACTGACTTAAAGCTGAAAACTGTGGTGCTGTTTTACACTTGCCCATTTATGATACAGTATGTCACTGTAAACAGCATCACAACAAAGTGCTGCTCTGCTGGACTGAACTGTGTCAAGCATAAACAGTATTTTGAAGTGGACTGTGTGACTAAAGAGCCAATCAGGGGTGAGGGTGTTGAAGGCACTTGCCCCTTTCCACTCGCACCACTGGTTTGGCAGTGGACCGACGCTGAGCCACAAGGCACACTGCTGTCAATCAAACGTGCTGAGCCGACCTTCGGGAAAGAATGTACCTGGTTGGTTTGTTATGTATTACATTGTGTCGCCTTGTCACGATGTGCATGTAGGTCTGTTATATACACTTCTGACACATGAGAGAGCGAGTCAGTGAATCCTAGCCTCCAGAAATGTTGAAATGTTAAGACATGTTTTGTATAATTTCTCATCTTTTTGTAATTATTTTGTTGACTATTTTGTTCCAATGTTGCTGGTTCAATTGAATGTTGAAAAGAAAAACAAATGTTCTACATTTAATGTCCAAATAGTCGACTTATGGATCCTTTTATTGCTGCTTCAATGACTGTTTGTCATTGTTTAAAACTTGAGTAAAACTAATTGTTCAGAGACACGATCACTCAGTCAACAATAAAATATCCTCATTAATGTTCAGTAATGGTCAAATTCACCTTTATTTAGTGATTTATGAATAATGTCTATTGACTTGGCTCGCGAGGGTTTGTGACTTTTAAAATATGGGTCCCCAGAAAAAAATCTGGGAAACACTGGCATATTATTTATATATATGTTCACATCTTGATTTACAGTCAAATGAACACACCAGTGTCATGTAGAGTTAAAATGAACATTTTAATGAGGAGATGCCCGACGGCTGCAGTTACAAAGAAAGTGAAGTGAACTGGAACCAGCTTTGAATGGAAACATTTTGAAACCATGTTCACTTCCAGTTTGGAAGACACCAGCCATTTATCTCCATCTACAATATGTCCATTCTACGATGCACATGGCCCTGCCTATGGATAGTTCAGTTCAGATTATGTTGCCAAATACTATGTGCATTACTGCTAGAAAAATCAAATTTGAGAAGGAAGAAGTCATGTACCGAGGTTTATTGAAATTAAGTCTTGAATTAAAGAGAATGAAGATAACTTAAACATGCATGACTGGCTCAAAAGAGAAACAACTATGACATGGTTAAAAGTAAATTTTGCATAATATGATCCCTTTAAGAGATAATGATGATACATTCATATTTTATTGATTCAGGCTGAGTAACTTCATAATTAAGGGGTTATGGTTGAGGTATTAATTAAGTAGTTACTAAACCTGATTTATTCTAAATAAACTATTTCATTATGAATTTAATCTTAATCTGACAGGTAAAAGATTTGGACATGAACAGCCCACAACAACAGTTTGTCAGAAGAATGCTTCATGTTGAGACAATGGCCCCAGTATATTTTATGAACCAGCAGTGATCCATCAACATATTCACACGTCTTTACTGCAACAGGACCAGCATTTCAAAATACACATATGCAAAAAATTTTTTTTAACCATGTTACATCATTGTCCTCAAATTAAGTACATACTTGGAGTTGAGTTTTGCTTCATTTATGTTTCATTAAACCATAAATACAAAGTGATCTTGTCTGAGCTCAAAAATGTTCTGTTCTGTTGCATCACAGGTAAAACTCCAGACTTCTTTTACACAGTTTTTCCATAAATTCATAAACCATCACCCATTTGGTGGTCAAACTGTGGTCATCACATGGCTTCACTAAAATGGAAATAGGGGTGAAGTTTGTAAAGTTTAAATACTTACCGTGCACAAGCATCCTGGTCCCTGTCCCCGTCTGCATGTGTCCACAGACAGTCACCACACACAGGTAGATTCCATCTGCTGTAGATGTGATGTTGGCCAAGGTCATGTTATGAACACATGAAGTTTCTTCAGTGTTTGAGTGTATGTCACACACAACCTCATTGATATTGTTCCAGGAAATCGTTTCAGAAGCAGAACCTTTAATCCAGGTGACACTGATGTGATCTTTAGAGCAGAGGCTGGTGTTAAATGAACAGCTGAGAGTCACAGAGTCTCCTGGCTGCACTCTGATATAGTCTGGACTCTGGAGCACAGACTGCATGAGCTTTGACTCTCCTTCAAACTTCAGAACAGTGCCTGATCCAAATATAACATTAAATGAGAGAACTATTCCACAATAGTACGTGCCGACATCCTCTGCTGTCATGTTCATTATGGTCAAAGTGGTTTCATCAGAAGAACTTTGAACTAAATAATGATTTACAGCTTTTGTCTCAGGGAAATTTACTGTTGATGCGAGCAGTTGTAGACTCCTGTTGGTGTCCAGTTTGTACCACGCTCTACGTCTCCAGATATTTCTGGTTGAACATTTGATCACCACAGTCTCACCGAGCTTTGCAGTTTGGAAACTTTCAAGCTGCTGGACTTCATGTGTCTCAGATGCACCTAAAATACAAAACAAATGTTGTACACAAGTGTATGTAAAGATCTGGTTAGT